CTGTCCGTCAGCAGTGCCGTTCCCACTGCCGACGGGAGTCACGAGTCCCCAGCTGAGCAGCTTCTCCCAGGACTCTCGGGCCACATCTCGGCCCCAGACACGACCAGGGGTGGCAGCAGCTCCGGACACCGAGGCGGATATCTTTGCAGAGGTCAGGAGCCGAACGTATTCTGCGTATGCGGCAGGGAAAGAAAGCGCAAGGGGCGACATGCTCTGTGACTGAGAACCGTCGTTTCCGGGGTCGAATAGGGCTGACAAGCGAGTTGCGGCTACCAGCAAAGCCAGTGGCAGTGATGAGGGACTGGATGATGTGATGGATGTGGAGAAGGGGAGAGGTGCTGGGTCAGGGCAATCGAGGGATTGGGAAGCGAAGGTTTTCGGGGTTGGAACTTCGGGTATGGGTGTGTCAGGCGTCGATACACTTTGTAGCAAGTCGCTGATGGGGATAAGTGCGCTGTTGAAGAACTCCTTTGCTGATTTGGTTTGGTTGTAGATACGCTTGAGATGGAATTGGAATTCTTTGTCGTTCCACATATGCTATTTTCAAGAGCAAGGGTTAGCAAAGATTCAATGGACTGGATAAAGGGAAATAGGATAGATCTTACCTTCAAATATTCCTTCCATCCCCCAAGCAGGGTATTCCATTTGCCTGACTCTACTAGAGTGCGTTCGGACCCAAGTTCATCTGCAATATCGACTATTTCAGCGTCGCTGAGATCCAGACTCCCTAAGCAGATATCTGAAAAGGTCTCGAAGGATCGAGGTAGAGGAACGTAAGTATAACGATGACTAAATCGACTCTTGACACGCTTCTCGAGCATTTCGGTTACATCGACCTTTGTCGTGAGCCCAATGACCGCGATGGGGGCTTTGCGGGCCTGGGCAATATCAAAAAGATTATACAACAGAGTCTGCCGGGGGTGGGTGACGAATAGGTCGAACTCATCCAACAAGATCACAATGGATTTCGCAGCAGTCTTTGATCCCGGGTCCCCAGAAGCCCCAAAGAGCTCCTCTGGGTGCGACAATAAAGCCAAGAGCGTCGCCATCGTATCCGCATAAGAACTGACCTTGGCCGCATCGTCCTCGGTATTCATTTCACGGCCAAGTTGACGCCACATCTCGCGCAACGCGAGACGGTCGTCTGTGTGCAAGAATCCATTGAGACGAACGACGTGGAAATCGTTGCTGTGCTCCTTTCTAAGGGAGGAAATGATAGATTCCACAATCGCAGTCTTGCCGCATCCTCTAGATCCAAGAAGAAGCATGGAGTTACCCTCACCCATAGAGACGGTCTGTTCAATGAGCTGATGAACTTTTTGGTATTCGGGTTCGAGTCCTCGAACTGGAATCTGTCGTTTCCCTGACAGCTTTTCGAGAAGAATAGTCGAGAGAATACGCATTTCGTCTCCAAGGCCCGTCTGACAGAGCGCTTGGAAATTTTCAGCATATTCCGGTAACGGCTCGGAGACATCAGCGGTCTCATGCGCCTCCGGCGGGTCATGATAAAGGTCTTGCTGGAGTTGCATCGTAACGAGGTCATCCAAACCGTCCTGATATTCAGGCGAAGGAGACTTCTCTTTCGGCTCTGCAGCCGCAGCTTTCCTGGATCTGGGTTTCGCGATGCTTCGCTTCGATCTAGTCCTTGTGATTGTCCGAGGGGCGGGTTCCGGGGACGGCTCATCGAGGTCCATGTCATCATCATCGTCATCGTCATCATCCTCCTCCTCTTCTTCTTCAAATTCAGGCTCATCTTCGTCTTCCACCGGAGATTGTGGCGGCTTTTTCGCGCTTCGGGTGGCACGCGCACTTCGCGAAGGAGTGGCAGCTGGTTTCCTTCTCGATGAGGGTGTCACGGCTTCCTCCTCGTATCTCTTTGGTGTTTTGCGCTGCCGCCCACTTGTTCGTGTCCCAACCCGTGCGGGGGTTTGTGTCTCCTCTTTCTTGTCCTCGCCATCTTGGCCTGTCGTTTCGGGGTCTGCATTGTCTCCGTGGGTAGGTCGACGCCGTGATGCGCTTTTCACCGGTGTGGGGGAAGTTCTGTTGTTGTCGGGAGATGATGGGACGGAGAATACATCTTGGTTATCATTTCCCATCTCGATGTCCCCATCAACGTCCTCGGAGACCCTTCTCCTCTTGGATGCTGGGGCCATGGCTGTAGTTTGAAGAATAGAATCGCTGGTGTCCGGGAGATTTCAATTCGACGAAAAGGGAATTTCGTCAGGGCAAAGGATCTCAAACAGGAATTCCTCGTGGTTGCCCTGTTGGATAAGTGTTTGCGCCTGTGTCAATTAGAATTGTTGATTGCCGACGAGCTTGAGCCTAGGAGCTTTCGCCCCGAATACATGGACTTACAATTAGAAAATCAATGGCGCGTCTGTCACTAATCAAGGCCAACAAGCGCAACCCATCCAATTCCAATTTGAACAGAAGTCCTGCGTGGTTCAATTGTTGGTTCAATCGCTCAAAGGGTCGGCTGGACAACAATTGGCCGATTTTCGCCTCAGGCCGAGACGCGTGACGCGAAGTCAGGTGCTTCCCGAGGTCACTTTGACAAGGAGTTCTCCCTTGACTTGCAAAGACTTGGAATTATCCTTTAATATCGTCTTACTGTATGGAATTGCCGGAACTTTCAGTCGGAGTTCAAACAAGACAAACATGAAGAACTGGAGTGGGCTTTAATAGTCCTCGCCGAGCTGTACGATTGAGTGGAATGTTGCGCACTATGTAGTAACTGAAAAGGGAATTAACAGGTACATAATACCGACTTTGCAAAATAAAGTATCCTGCTGTAGATATAAAGATTCAAGTAAAAAAAAATCGGAAAACAAAAGAAAAAGGAAAGAAGAAAGACAAAACAAGACAAAACAAGACAAGACCAAAAAAGCAGATCGATCTAAATGGCCGAGTCATTTAAGACCAATGTCGTCCCCCACGATTAAAGCATTCTAGATAATCTCTAGGAAGCCATAGAAACATCAGCAGAAGCCGGAGGAGCTCCCTTCCACACATCCCCACTCTCTCGACTAGGACGACTATCACTGAAAGCGATATTCAACTTGCGATAATCCCAGTTACGAGCGAAAAACAACACAGCAAATGTCAAAACTGGTACCATCAGCAGATCGAGTACACCAAAGAAGATGAATCCCCCGGTAACGCCAATCAAATTACCACCATCAGTCAGACCAAAGGCGATTGGATACAACAACCATAATAGATTCAGCCACCCAGCAAGGAAAAGATAATCCCTCTCAATACCAAGCAAAGCAGCAGCCTCACGACTTTCGTTGATAGTGCTCATAGCGAGAATGAGCCACGAGAACGTGCCGAAGGCAAAGAACCCCCATTTGTAAGCTGTAGTTGTGTAGGCCGATACAAGGTAGCTTATAACCCAATACCAGGCGAGAGCGATATTGCAGAAGATAGTAGTCCAGGAGACACCTGATATCAGACCAAGGCCGAGTACGAGGGACGGGAAGGCAACGACCCAGTTTATATATTTGGCGTAGAACATCTGACGGACGACGCCATTGCTGAGATGTTCGGTTTGCTCAACAGCACTCCAGCCAAGATCGGATGCCTGGGCGTAGTAGGTTATGGCGCCGACTAGAAGGGCGAAGGTGAAGAGGTAGTGGAAGACTCGTTCACTTTCCTTTGCTGCGAAGGAGAGTACTAGAAGTATAATCTGTGGAATTCGATGTGTGAGTAAAGTAGTCAGGTGCAACAATGTCAGTATTAGTGCTGGGAGTTACAATAAACTCACAAATGATAGAACATAGATGGCTGTGACAGCCCAGAGCCAGTCGGACCCGTGCACGGAAAGAGCTTCATCGACACCTGTGACGGTATTGATGTCGAGAGCGGTGTTTGCTCGCCCAATGAGACTCATCTTGGGATTTTCAAGGGATTTGGCCTCGTGACCTCTTTACGAAAAGAATAAACCCCTTCCCTTAGCCGTGTATATCAAAGATGTGAGAATGTTCTCAGGAAAGATATAAAGATGGATGAGTGAGTATTTCGGCGAGCAAAGGGGTGCTTCTTATAAGGATGGCACCAGCATGACCTGGCTCTGTATGCGTCAAATCTGAACTAAGTAATATTATCGGGAACACGGAGACCGATTGACCGATGCCCATGCTTGTGTGTGGGATCTATTGTGCCGTGGATGATGGTCCTAACACCGAGCTGGCATATTTGTGGTGGAGCTTCTAAATTTATTGTGCTCTATAGGAGTGAAACTATATACTACAGCCTAGAGATACAGCTTTATCATTGGTCGCCTATCTTATTTCTTAGCTGATTGATCGGCGAATTGTTTCTTGTCGCGGGTTGGGCCTATAGAAACTTTTCTCCGACTATTGTTCCGAGGCATTTGATGTTGCAGTAAACTAACACGACTCTACTTCTGCGGTGAGCTGGAATTCTCAATTAAGTCAATATCGGGGATATAGACTAATAAATCAACGCCCGTGCTTAACATAGTGTATTGTAGGATATATTATGCCGTGGACCTCTTGTCTCGAGCTTGCAGACTATAGGTCGGCGTAATAGATAGCAAAGCTGCTATGCTTATAGTGTACATTTTAGAAGAGAGAAAATACATAATATATTTGAACCGAGCCTAAAAGGATAGCCCTATCATTGATTCTTTGCTTTGCTCTCTATTCTCCCCTCCCGCGTGTATTATAGTGCCATTAACCTGACAAGCGCCAACAGACTCATAATTATTATACGTTAGTTTGCAGCGGTCCCTTCACCACTGTGACTAAATAAATCATTTGTTTTAGATATACAAGACCGTGGCAGCAAATCCAAATAGCTTTGCTCATGGTTATTGACATTTTTCAGTTCTCGGAGAATATGGAATAGCTCCTGGAGACGGCTTTGAAAGGGTTCACCAGTATGCATGCCATCGTAGAGAAACTCAGCGCACAAGAAGAGTGGAATAGGCATCAGTGGATGAACCTAGCCGTAAATAATTAGCAGGCTATGTATGATCAGAGAAAAAGACCTACCTTAGCAAATGGTAAGTCGTGCAATGTCGAGGCGAGACGGATGATGTTCGTAGAAGCATCAAGGGCCCGATTTTGAGGATCAAATAGATCAACATTGACCTCCGACTCGCTGTTGGGAATTATGGTTGAGTCCATTATCATTTTGCAGAAGTAGATAACGGTAGCTTGGCCAAGGATGCTGGCGAATAATAGCAGGGGATCATAGGCCTCTGTAGGGGATGGATAACACTGAGACAAGACCTGAAGTCTTGTCGTCAGGAGGGTTTCCAACCATAGACGCTGCTCCATGTAGTTTATTGTCATTCCTCCGTAGGCCTTAGATATATGGTGCTGCTGACTCTGGAGCAGACTACGTCCACAAATAGTAACTAAAATGAGACATTCGTTGAATGGTGAGCGGACTTTGAGATCAGGGTCTGTCATAGCTTCCGATAGGAAAGGTCCCAGCTGATGGTGCCCGGCTTGAAACTCTGCATCTGGAGCTGGAAGTCGGGTGCAGATCTGACAATTATAGAGCGGGTTCCTCGGTTAGTTCATGACTTGGAGAATCTCTGGCATTCTTTCATCTCAGATTGGACTCCTTACCACATGTTCATTTAACGTGATTGGCCAGTCATCGCGTATGCTGATAACATGATCAAGGAAGTAGGCCATCCAAAATACCCGACGTTTCTCTTCGATCTCAGTAAAGTCGCCCATCTGAGAAGAAGACCCTTTTCTATCATGAGGGCTGTCGATTTCATGATACCGCATGGCTTGGACTAAGCGAAAAGCTCGACCGACACTCATCCACGCCTGTTGATGATATGTTCGCATGGACTCGAATATTACAACAAGCACCCACGCTTGAGCAAGCTCTGTAGTCAAGTTGATCTTTTCATTGGCTTCCAGGCTGAGATGCTCCAGCATCTGCTTTGTCTTCTGGTACAGTGGCTCGATCATATGGCGGAACTGGGTTGACAGAAGGGAAGCCAATGCCCACATGGCATACTGTAAACATGTACGGGATGCACATTTGGTAGTAGATTTGGACCAGGATAGATACCGTCGCTGATGGAGAATGGGGATCGAATGGTGCACACGGTCTAAGTAGAGCTGGTCTCTAGTGAAGATTTGTTAGAGTCCATGTACATGTCCCGCGAATCTGTTACTTACAATTCTGCCCGCACGATATCCGTGGGAGGCAGACAGATGTTAATTGACAGGGTCGACGATGATGACAATCCATGGGAAAGAGAAGGGGAGTCAGACAGGAATCCGAAAGCCCCTGGCTCCGGAACAGAAGACGTCACCGTCGGCTGCCATGGCTCCGCGATATTGAGTGTAGTAGGTCGTATCGCATCTACAGGTGATGCTGTGACAGTCCCCTCGCTACTGCTTTGGGCGTTGCTTCGGTTTTGGATATGGAGGTCATCTGGTTCCTGGGCCGAGAGACTGCTCTCCAGCATAGCCTCCAGTTGTTCGACTCGGTTCTTCAGGGCCTTTAGGTGTCCCTTTTTTGGTCCTCTGGTCCCACGCGGTGTGACTTCACATACAATGTCTGTCTCCTGGCAGACCCCGCATTGCGGTTGCTGCCCATCGCAGCGCAGCTTGCGGCGCCGACACTCGTCACACGCTGAACCCGGGCGCTGGCGCCCGCGTGTTATACTTGACATTACTTCTGTATCGATATTGAATGACATGGATATGAATTTGAAGTGACGGAGTTTCTTTTTCTTTCCCCTCTTTGAGATGACTATGGGCTAGAGCCAGTGGGTTGATAGGCAGCAGGGTAGAGAGAAAGCCACAATCCTTTAGGCTTCCTGCATAATTCCAACTCATTGAACCAGTACAACGAATGACACGATAAACAACTTAGCGATCTTGTTTGATATGTTCTACTAATCGGCACAGTACCGCCCGTGCAGAGTGTAAATATATACTCCGATGACCACAATAAATACTCCGTAATAACCCCGGCACTCGGCCTAAAGAAATATCTAAGGATGATTGAGCACCAACTACCCCGTACTCTGTATGTATAAACCTAAAGAATTTCAGCACGAGAGTGGATCACGACTAGAGAATACTCGGCCACAAAAGTGCTTAAGGTAGAAAGGTGACGCCATCACTTTCCCAAGGTCGAGTCCCTCGAGTGTCCAATTAAATCCCTTGTTTTCCGCTCTTTTAAAAACAACCGTAACCCCACCAGTCCTGGACCAATTGCTTCGCTTTTGGGTATAAATTGAAGAGAAATGGTCTGGCTATCTAATCCGTGCAAAAAAAAAAAAATTAAAGCCCAACGCCGGGGTCGAACCGGCAACCTCAAGATTACTTAATTTCAAAGTAGAAGTCTTGCGCGCTAGCCATTGCGCCAGCCGGGCTGTTTGATGCAAGATTGAAATATTAATTTGTTTATATGGCAGGGAATAGAGGTTATATAATTTTTATTTCAGTCAAAAACACGAAGTGAATTCCTCGGAAAAAGTGGGTATATTGAAGAGAGAAATTGGGAAAACAAAGAACGAACATCTGTGAAATCCGCTTTGTTTGCCTTGTGAGCATATTACCCCAGCCATTTGCAGTATTCCCTGACTGTTTGACGTCTAGGGATTAGAAAATACTTAAGTAAAGAGCTTGAAAGAGATAAAGTAACAAGCATGCCCACTTGTGCAGAAATTGATACTGATGGAATGAATATGTTAACCCATATCATCTCAAGCATCAGCCTTCGTGGGTAACCCAGGGGGCTCTAGGTGTGACAACCCAAAGCAGCCACCGTCAATAATATCACACTTTCAATGAAAAATGGTTGAATATTATATATGTGGTACTATATAACATAAAATATAAGAGATAGAAAGATGAACATATTCCTCGGATTTAAGCATTATTCTGATTCAATAGTAAGTAACATGGTCGGCTTCACCACAGCCGAGGTCCAATATGGGCGATCCGAGCTACGGCTGTGATACTTAGCCTAAGCTACCTCTACTTCCAACACTTCTTTCCATCCCATTTTGACTTTCGCATTTGTCATTTCTTTTAGATACAATGTCAGGGAACGCAATAGGCGCACCGTCCAGGAAACTGGACGAGTTCGAGGAACTCGTCTACGAGTATACGGCGCGAATGGGCCTAGGGAACGAAGCAGTAAGTACACTCCGTACCCACATGCCGCAATATTACATATGAATTACATTTCCCCTACACACCACCGATTACGCATAATTGCCCAGGGGAATCCAGCGCTTACCTCTTATTTCAATAAAGCACTGGGACGTCGACGCCCGCAGCTGTAACCTCCGCTTCGAATCCGCGACCCGTGGTCCTCCGGCTACAGTCTCGTTCCTGTTGACGATTACTCCCGCGCTGAGTAATTACATGGGTAATCTCCACGGAGGCTGTGCTGCTACTTTGATCGATGTTCTATCAACGACTATCTTGTTGGGCATTTCCGAGCCGGGGAAGTTCTCTTTCGGTGGCGTTAGTCGCAATCTCAAGGTGACTTATCTGCGGCCTGTACCGACGGGAACTGAAGTGCGGCTTGTTTGTGAGGTTATTCATGTTGGGAAGAGGTTGGCTTTGCTTCGGGCGGAGATTCAGAGGGCAGAGAGTCGGGACGTTTGTGTGATTGGCGAACATGAGAAGGCAAATACCGATCCGGAGGTGACGCAGAGGATTTGATTTGGGTATGTGTAGAAGGAAGAGACCATATATATTCTCAGGGTTTTAGAAGGTACTTGAAGATCAAGTTGTATAGATCTCAATTTGCATCAATAAAGTTGGCAAATTCTATCCATCGTACGAGCGAAGAGCATGGTATTGACCAGAGATATTGTGCTTCGTTTGTTATGATAGGGAAGAGCGGACAATGAACAGAGAGACTATCGCACATGTCCAAGAGAAATATAAGCAATCTAAGTAGTACTAGATTATCCGATTGTCAAGGCGACGCCTTTTTACTCGGCGGCTAGTTGCTGGTCTTCCCGGAGACCCTCAACCTTCAACTCCTCGCCAGTGGCACGGCGGTACACATCACGGACATCGTCTGGGAGAAATGATTAGTTGACAATTTATAAACTTTCAATCATAAGACAGCTTACCGGTCGTAGTCTCGAAGTGTGATGTCGCGTCATAGCTCTTAGAGATGAAGATGTTGGACTCCTCGCCATTGTCGATGGGCTCGTAGAGAGGAATAGGAGGTCCCATGAACTTCTCCTCAATCTTGCCCAGACGCTCGAAGCCAGCCTCAAGCTCAAGGTGGTGGTTGGCATCGTTCTCGGCGATGGTGGACACAATGGCGACGTAGTAACCCTTGGGGCAGACGTTATGCGCGGATGAGACCATAGCAATGTAAATATCTGAAGAGGTTAGTGCCCTGTTAATACATCGGGACAGTATAGAACTTACCGTGCTTGCGTCCAACCTGGGACTGGGGGATGATCAGCTGCACAGAGTCGCTGCCGTCGGTCTTATCGATGGGGTGGTTCAGAATGCAGATGGCCTTGAGCAAGTATCCGGTGACCTTAGACTTGCTTGGGAAGTAGGAAGGATCAGCGATGATCTTCTTGGTCTTGGTCTCAAACTTCATGGCCTCGGATTGGTCATCACGGTCCTTCATGGTCGCCTTGATGCCGGAAACCTTGCCATTCTCGTAAAGCACCTCGTCAACGTCGGTGTTCAACATGTAGGTACCGCCGTAGATGGCAGACAGACGAGCGAAGCCCTGGGGCAGCTCGCCGAGACCGTAGAGAGGGTAGATGTAAGGCGATTTTCCGTAGCGTGCCATAGAGTTGACATACAGGCGGATGCGGTTAATGGTTTCGACGGCGGCACCGTTCTGGTTGATATATTCGTCGGAGGGGTACAAAGCCATAGAGTGACCGACAAAATCGCGGGTGTTATCCTCGAGGCCGAACTTGTCGTAGACCTCCTTCATAGTGCAAGTGTGGATGTTCAATCCTGGTCTCTATTAGCTATCCGCTTTGACAAACCGCCAAACTGACTCAGGCTGCAAATACTCACCCTGGTGACTGGCTGGGTCGTCCTCCTTGAATTCACCAACCCACTCGAGGAACTTCTTGGCACGTCGCTTCTCGAACAAGCCCATGAGCGATGAGCGGAGAGCTTCACCAGCATCCGAAGGCACCTTAGCCACGGTCGCCTTGGGGCCCTTGCCTTGCTGGACATAGCTGCCAGCAATCTGCTTGAACTCGAGGTACCGGGTAACATCGGTGGACACCAAAATGTTGGTCAACTCTCCGTTGGACATGAGCAGCTTGGGGACCAAGTCGATGTTCCAGTCATTGACCCTCCCGTATTTCTTCCATGGCTCCTCGCCGGGGCTGACGTTGCCGTATTTCTTGAACAGCTGCAAAATGGTGTCAATATTGTAAGGTGGAAATGAATCGGTGCACATACTGCTTCGATGTTGACGGAAGCTGCTTCTCTGTGGCTAATGTTAGCTATTTTGCTCTTGGTGCCGTCATCGTGAGCTTCTCCGACTTACCCTCCATAGTGATCATTGCGATCGATGTGAAGGACCTTGTTGCCCTTGACACTAAGGACACTGTAGTCGAAAACAATGAGAAAACGGTAGAATTATTAAAATCCAAGCTCAAAGACCTACCCAGACAAAACACACTCGGTCAGGCCTAAAAGAAAATGGTCAGTTGTTGACGTTTGGGGGGGATGGCGGGGTAGCAACATACCAGTGCCCAGCACCACAACATCGTACTCTGGGGCAATCTCGTCCATAATGAATATCGAAAGTTCTAGGTGTAGAAAAAGATAGGAAGAAGATTCAAGAAAATGAGGAAGAAAAGAAAGTTGACTACCTCCCCGCGGATCAACGAAGCGGTAAGAAAGGGGAACTATTTGACGGATCCGCCACTAGTGAGTTACCTCACGATATTAATGACATGGACAATTTGGCTTCAATGAGCCCCTGAATATGTACATGCTTGGGTTCTTTCATCTCAGGGGTAAAATATGATCAGTTCCCAACAATTTTTTTTAGCTACAGGGTTAAATTAAAGGAGGTTTGTGTCGGATGATGAACCATCTCTTATATATCCAATGTATAATTTGACATGCGCACTACTAAAATCACCTTGAAAAGCTAATGTTACATACTTAATTGACCCTTGGAGACTTGTCGGAAGTCTCACTCGACCGGGTTTGTCTAAAACCTCTTCTCATGCTTATTGTTCCTTGACTTAGGCTGCTCCCTTGCCCTCTTGCTCGACCTCCACGTCATCGAGTCCGTAAAAGTTCTCAGGGCGGTATCCACGCTTGTACATTCGTGAGGCGTCCTCCCAAGCATACCAGCGTTCACGTAGAACGTGCTTGATGTTCTTCATGGTGCCTCGAATCTAACAAGATCAAACGGGTCAGTCGGGTTCAGACAATTTCAATCATTGATTGTCGTCTCAGAAGTAACGAAGAAAAAAAGTCCCCACGCAGCTTTCCAAGAGATATAGATAAACGAGACGGCTTATACAGCCGGGGGAAAACTCACCACCTTGTCCCGTTCCTGGGATTCAAATCCACCGTAACCAGCCTGAATTCTTTCTCTCTCGAAATCCGACGTGGCAATGCGGTTTCGTTCCCGAACGCATACATGCCACAGACCGTGGAGGTCCTCCCAACTCCTTTCACGGAGTTCCTGGATACCCCACTGACGACCTAGATTGCCAACATCAGCATTGCTCATCGAACATTCATTCTGTAGATTAGAGAGCCATGAAACTAACCATGAGTGTTGTCATAAGATGGGGTAGGCAATGCTTCCCGGTTAGGGGGAAGAAGGCCCAGAGTCCATGGTTGGGGTTTGTTTCACGTGGCTGCATATCTTTTGGCGACACAGGCTTGGGCAATGGCCATCTTGACACGGCGAATGGGGTTCGGGGACCGGTTCGATTAATGGCCGATACACCACGGTTTTTGCTCTTGTCGCGTCGAGGGTTGGCGCCGACGGAGGCAGTGGAAGAAAAGCTTGAAGACTGGATGGCTGACAGGGTCACGGAAGGGTGAAGTGATGGCGCGAGGTAGGTAGGAGGCAATTCGGCCATAGCCAGCCCTCTCAGGCGGCTAGCAATGCGTGGAACCTGCTGCATTATTGTGATGGCTTTCCCCAGGATGGTCGGAGTCGGAGATTGATGGTCTTTCTTTTCGCAAAGGCGGCAAGGGTGGTCACGTGCCACGACCAACTCGAGATGAGCTGAGATGCTTCCAGCCTCGGGTTCATCGGGTTCTACATCTTCTTTTTTTCAAGCCATCTTGTCTCTTCTACTTTTTTTTCTTTAATTCAGTAATCGACAATCCCAAATACGTATCATTAGAGATATATCTTATCTTTACCTCTTACACCTTCCACCGCGGCTAATTGCGGACTTGGCCTGTGCATTCTTTCGCACCCGCGCGTCTAACCACCAATCGATTACTCGGCGGAGGAGTGCCGCATCAAGCGTGACCAAGAGGCCTTGTGGATTGCTCTCCCCTCCACAGATTCACCTCCGGTCTATTACTCGGGCAGTCTGCTTTTGATTTTTGACATATCCCGGGATATCGGAAATTACCTTCTTTTTTAAGAAATATCGACTATGAATAGGCCAGGTTCGTCATTTTCCTTCAATGCCTTCGCGAACCCTTGTGCCTTTCTTATCTTTCACCTACCTCCGCGGACTACTTGATACAGTCGGACTTGCTGTTGCGCTTGGCTATACTCTCATTCGCAAGTGAGAGTTGCCCCAAAACTGTGGAAGCATCGGGGGATCCAATGGCAAGCCTTGGTGCAGATGGTTTTACATTTGCGACCGAGACATTTGCGAGGACATGCCCTCACATTCCTGTGGTGTTGATCTGAGCAGCTCTTGATGCGACGATCGTGCTGACTTGTCACGCTTGTGTCAGGACCTGGCCCACAGCCGCTGAAAGGCATGTCCGGATTCCCCACACAACAGCAAGCACAAGCTCGAACTGCATCATTAGCCTCCGCGCGATTGTCGAACGGGAAACTGGGTGCGATTGTCTCGAGTCATACCTTCTGGACACTCAATATTATTCTTATGAAAGGCATGCTAACGTAGGAGTATCAACAGGCGCCGGTGCGAATTGGAGCTTCAATCTACCTGTTAACGGAACATCTGGCCTACCGGGCACTCAGCAGCGCACCATGGGCACCATGGGAAGTTTTGCGCAAAGTCTTGGAGGATCTCAATCTGCGGCACCACTTGATCTCTCGTAAGTACTCTTTGCCATGGTTCGCGGTGGTCTCCTGTGTCTTTAGGCCTTCCAATTTGTCTCCGAACTGACGAAGTCGGTGATTCTAGGGAGTTCCCTTCGCTATCAGGAGCATCACAGCAATCACAGTCACAAACTCCCGGTCAGCTAATGTGGGCCAACGCAAGTCAACGCGCTGCTCAGCAAACACCTGTGCAAAGACAGCAGCTCCCTCAGCCATCACAAACCCCCTCCCGTTCCTCCCAACCCCAGGGTCTTCCTACACCTCAACAATCTCAACCACCGCATGATGACATGTTCCCTTCTGGTTCGCAGTTTGCCAATCGACTTGATGACTTCAGAAATGGTGGCCAGGGTATTAGTAGCCAACTCGGTGCGGGTGGCCAGCCCCAGACAGGCAATATTGAAGAGTTTCCCCCTTTGGGTCGTAATGCTGCTGCTGAGCTTCCTCTCGGTCGAACTGGTTCGTTGATGCAAGGTGCAGGGTTTGGGGGTTATGGAGCTGGTCTGGGGGGACCGAGGTCACCAGTCAGCCAAGTGCCTAATGGCATTTTGGGACAAGAGAAAGACGTACGTCCCTGCAATCATACTCACTTTTTAGGCAGTACTAACTTTGCAGCAGGACTTGAACAACGGTGTGCTTCCAGGCCAGCGTAACTTTAGCGACCCTCAACAGCTACAGCAAAGACAGCCAGAAAATAACGATGGACAAGATGTTTCTAATGCGCCTCAGAGCACTGAGCAACCGCCCCTCGCACAGATGAGTGAACTTGACAGGTTTGGGTTGGCGGGTCTTCTGCGTATGATTCACAGCGAGAGTCCTGATGTCGCAAGTCTCGCTGTTGGCCAAGATTTGATGACACTAGGGTTGGATTTAAACCAGGCGGAGTATGACTTCCTTTGTTCCCACACTATTGACACATACTAATAATATTCTTCTCTGCATAGGCCTTTGCACACATCGTTTGCTTCACCATTCGTGTCCTCAATGTCAGCAGTCCCTTTGGAACAAGACTTCTCCTTGCCGGGTTGTTATAATGTCGCCAATATCCAACCCCTCCAGTCTCGCATTCCTGGGTTCAGCGATGAGACTCTCTTTTTCATCTTCTACAGTATGCCTCGGGATATCATGCAGGAACTGGTAGCCGAGGAATTGATGGGCCGCAAATGGCGGTACCACAAGCTCGAACGGTGCTGGCTAACTCGTGATGAGACATATCCTGGGCCCGTTGATGTGGAGCGTGGTGTGACAGAACGCGGAGTGTATCTTCTGTGGGATTCGTCCGCCTGGAAGAAGGTTCGAGTAAGTGACTTTCATCTTTTTTTGGGGTTTTAAGAACTGGTCAAGCTAACTGTGATCGCAGCGTGAATTCATCCTTCGATATGAAGACTTGGACAACCGGTTGGATCCTAACCGAGGCGCCGCCCGCCCACCTGGCGTGGTGCATCATGCCTCATGATTTGAAGTTAATACGACCTAGGCGCACGCAGAATACAATCAATCAACCATGGCGTTCGGTTTACTGGTCTGTGTTATATTGCTCGGGGATGGCCGATAGTACATTAACCTTCGGGAGCAAGGCGCGTTTGATTTCTTTGGTATTAAACGAGCTATGTGGGAAACCAGGATACGATATTTGAAAATCAATGCCCTGGATGATCTTGTCACAATGTTGTAAAATGCTATAGATTTCTGTAGCTCCCTCTATTCACCGTCTGAATGAATTCTCCATCTATGAAGACTTGCGTGCAGTCGACAGAATAGCAACCCAATCGGTGTCCATGGTCCCATTCCCGTAGGTGTCTTCCACGTACTTCTCGAGGGCGGGACGAAGCTTATCCTGGTTTTCCTCCTGTTGCTTCTCATTCCAGAAGGACTTCATCACCATGGGAAGAGCCAACATAGTCATCTCAACAAATACAGGGCATGCGAGGGCCAGCTTTATTGTCGTTGGGCGGACATCGATGTCCTGAAACCCACGCTCCTCGAGCTGGGACTCGATCCAAGGCTTCGAGTGCCATTTCCCATCAGTCACGGCCGTCAGGAACTGTTCGGGCTCAAAAAATGGCAGGTTGCCTGGCATTCTTTTAATTGCTTCTCGGGCGATGGCGATCCAGCCGGCTGTTTCAATGTCAGTAAATTTGTTGCTGTGATAATTGTTTCGATACTCACGCTCGATCCAGGTTGAGAAAGCAATAGTACCGCCAGGTTGCAGCATTCGGACGGTTTCTAGCGGTAGTCTCTATTAGTCTGGGATATAATCAGAAAGGAAGCTATGGTATCCTTACCATCGAGAGCCTTAACAGACTCAGGGAGTGCCATATAGGCTGTAGAAGGAATATAGTAGTTAGCCACAGTCAAATAAAATCAAAGTGCATCGAGAGAGGATCTCACCGAAAGCAGTAAAGATGTGAGAGAACTGAGCACTAGCTAACTCAGGCTTCTGTGCATCCACGATCTTTGTCTCCGCGTTCTGCCAACCCTCTTCTTGTATACGGCGTGTAGTATACTCGATCATTGC